GTGGTGTCCTCTGTTGTGCTCGACGTAGAAGTGGCCGTAGCTTATCATGACGCACATCGCTCGTCCTGGTTTCCCGCGAGGGAGGAGGAGGTCCAAACAAGGGTCAGCAAATAGATACCATATAGCCTTTGGTGTTGCTGCTGTAGGGGATGGCAGGGAACGAGGGCTGCATATCAGGCGGGGGGGGGGGGGGGGGGNNNGGGGGGGGGGGGGGGGGGGGGGGGCACAGGGAGCTACGGATTTATCCGCCGACAGCCACGTAGCCGTGTGGCCAACGCAGCAGCAGAGCGCGAATGAGGGCGGAGGGGAGCAAACATTCGTCCCAACAACTGAGGCAACCTGACGGTAGCAATCGCACTAATAGGAACTACATCGCCAACAGTCCCAACACAACCGATTGTGTGAGCCTCTCGGCCACTACTAGTCTTCGGCGGGTGTCTCCTCGCTCCTCACCCAGCCACTGCTCGATACGGTTGGACTTGTGCACCAGCTCGTGGCTAAGGGTGATGCCGATCCCGCCCGTGTACACCGCGACAGACACCACAAACCCTGCACCACATCACCACGAGAAAGAACAAGGACAACAACGAAACAAGCGTGCATGGCGAGGGAGGCAGCGAAACAGACGAAGCGACTCTCAAGGTCATCCTCAAACATGGCCAGAGGGCGGCACCTCTTTCCCTCAACAGACACGCGCGCGCGGGGGGGGGGGGGGGGGNGGGGGGGGGGGGGGGGGTGAAGAGGAGCGGCGGATGCATCAAGCCGCGGCGTGACTTCAGCCAATAACGCAACGAACGAAGCAACGTGTTTTGGGACTGGCCCGTCAAAACATTGGTCCCCGTTGCCACAACGGTCGCGAAGAGGGACGGAAACGCTTGTTTCCGACATGCGGCGGCAATTGCTGCCCCTCTCACCTAAAAACTCGAGGGGCGTCAGAGGGATGGTGTTGACGGCGTGGCAAGCGTAGGCCAAGAGAGCCAGCTGGGCCGGAAGAAATATCCAGGAGGCTATCCGGAACCATTTCCTGTCAATCAAAGCCGCCGGGGGTTCGCGAAAATGTTACCGAGAGGGGGGGGGGGGGGGG